AAAATACAAAAACAATTTCATCATATATTCAACTAAGAAAATATAGCTTCCATTTTGTGAAATTCTCAAAGAATCAATAAAAATAAAATATAGCTTTCCTTACTTGAGATTTTTCCCACTCAGAACCAAGAGAAAGGTCAGAGTAGGCAAGCAGGACGGCCATGTGGATGTTAGGCGTTCCTTTCATTTCACTCCAAACCATTATGAGGGCCCAGCGCCAATTGAACCCGTGACCAAGCCGAGACAAAATGGGGCTCATTAGTAGTAAGACCAGAAGTCTAGAAGACAAGGCCAGATTTTAAAGGCTATTTTCATCATAGAAATATTTTTCCATTTTTTCTGAACTACCTTTCAAAACAATGAGCCAACTTTCCATCAACTGACAGGCATCAAAGAAGGCAGATGGTATCTCACAGAGGCACCCGACAAGAATGACTTTCTTCCCTTGTTCTCTTTATTTCTTTCCACTACTGAATGGTAGGGTAATTTTACATCATCCTTTGGTGGTGCTTCCTCAAGTGCGAAGCAAACATTATGCGCTCTGTAAGTTTTAGACCTCAATAAGAAAGGGCAAATAGAAATAAGGAGAAAATGTCCTTTCTCTTTTACTTCCAGTTCCCATCTTGCTAAATTTTAGTCTTGATCAGTTTCTTTTCCAATTCTTCTTTCAATGTCATATCATTCCTAAATTTCACATCAATTTTTCTGATAATTTTAGATAAATATTTTGAACTTGTGAGTTGCTGTTAACAAGTCTACTAACTTTCCTAGATAGAAGTAAAATGTTAACTTGAGCGACAGCTATGAGACTTCAATTTCTTACTGTATTTTAACTCCTGTGCAGCTCTATTGACATATTCTCCCATTTCTTAAAATTACACAAAGGGACACAGAAGTTATTAGAACAAAAAAGTAATTTGCAAAGAGTGCTTCTTTATGATTTCTGAAAAGTACTATTTCCAATTATAGTTTTGAATCATAAAAATTATAATATTAAGCAATTGTCTTAAGATACAATTTCTATTTACCATAGGTACTTAAGCTGATAAAACCTTAAACAAAAATAGAAAATGCTTGATGAAATATGTCAAATATTGATAATGTTGCTTCTCAGTAATCCTAATAGATTATATATCTGTGCCTTCATAAATTTTACAGTGTTTGCATTGCTTTTAATTACATTTAAAAACTGAGAAAA